CGCTGACATATTTGGGGTTTCGTTTTTTTCTTCTTTTTACATACACTACTAGTAGTAATATAATTTTGATTTATTAGATGAAACCTTGTCAACCGATATTATTTATTAATATTTCTTTCATTTTAATTTCAGGTTCTTCTCATTGCAACTAATCAAAAAAATTAATCTACAGCCATTTCCAATCTGTTCTATTTTCTAATGGTTGTTGACTGACAGTCTGATTAGTCATGATAAGAATCTGAAATAAAAGAGAAATATTAGTCTATAAATAATATCACTTGACAAGGCTTCATTTAAATAAATCAAGATCATATAACAACATGCTCAAAATCCATTAAATTTAATTTATAAAATGTGTTGAAACTAAATTCGAATGAGGAAGGATTTGTTATCAAAGTAATGCAATTACAAAATATTTCTGAGTTGTTTAATGTCCAATATTTTCCTCAAAGTCAACATAAAATCTATGTTCATCTTTAAATATAGTCATTTCAATTCAGGCCATGATGTGCATTAATTCGTCCACTCTGAAAGTATTGAAAATTTTACAAGTGTTAAAAGAACATGGAATTAATGAATCAAATTTGAACTTCAACTGAATCTGCTTCTGTTTCTCTTGGAAAAGGCATGAATTTGTCCTGTTGCCAGATAGTCTCTTTTTAATTCACACGATTACCAGTACAGGATTCGCATAAAACTCAAGACAGATAAATTCATCTTAGAATAAATATCTTTGTGTGCAAAACATTACATTAAAATCTTTTTTCAAGGATTTAAAGTGAAACTCTGATTTATTTCTCAAAGTCAAGACAGCTTTTCTTGAATTTTTAGTGTCATTGGCCTTTTTGAAAGCAAATAACTAATAAAGGAGACCTTGACATTTTGTGTTTATTTTGAAAAGCGTCTCAAATTGATTCTCAGTGATTTCATCATTTTTTCAGGGTTTGAATATTTTATTTGATCAAACGTTTAATAATTAATGAAATCTGAATTTATCAAATAGTTTGCTTATTGTGACAGCGAAAAACTCCTCTTTGCTTTTTGATATTCAATTCACTTTTTGGTTACATTAACTGACGATCAAACTTTCATTTTCTTTTGGAAAGGCATGAATCTAACTCTCCCTGCACACTATCCCAACACCAATCTCCTTAATTGAAGATTTCGTCATTGACATGTCATGGTATAAAGGGATGAAAAGAATGAGGGTGATGCTGCACAAGTCTCCTCTGGTTTGTGTAAGCCTTAATCACTCAAGTAAAGATTACTATTGAAATCTCTCTTTAATGCCAATTTAAGGAAGCAATTGTAAATCATTTTAGATTTGAAACTCTTAACAGTTCAATTTTTAAAACCGTTCAGTTAAAAAACAAATTCCTTTAGTTTTTCTTCAGTAAAAAATCATTCAATAGTTTAGACACACTTTCACAATAGGCATGCACCTGAAATATCGTTCATAGACTAGACATCCTTTTGCCTGCAAATTAAATATGAAGATTTCTTTTAAAAGCATTGTTTGTCTTTTCTTTTGAACCTTATCCTCCAATGTGTAGTGACCACAACTGACGACTTCATAATCTCACCAAGTGTCCACATCCTTAGGTAGTTCTTCAGAGCATATCTACCGGTTAAAAGTCCCAAGAGAAATAGAAATTTTTTTACACATCTTAACTGCCCCCCCCCCCCCATCTGTTCCCTCCTTTCCAAATTGTTGTAGACTTTTTTTTTTTCCTCCTCCGTCTGCATCCCTTGCAGAAATTACTGGCGCTCTGGACTGCAGGAACTCTCACCAAAAAGGTATGTGTGAAGAGCAAATTGATGTAAATTCTGCCTGCCGTTCCCAGCCACATGACTTCTTCATCTCCTGCTCTCCTTAATTGTAGCTGTGGATTGGATAGCTTGTTTCTTCATCCCCAATTTGTATTGTCGTGGTCAGTGGATCAAATCGGTTTTTTTATTAGTGGTCATTTAACCTTTTTTGTGTTTCCCACCCAAAAAATAGATTGTTTCCTTTTGGTCTTGCATACTATCCCGACTTTATTTCTTCAAAACCTTCCTTATCAATTAGCTTCAAAATTCCTAAACCTTTTTTGTTAGCTTCTTTCTTGAAAATTCCTATTTCAAATCTATTTTCTGTTTATTGTAGATTTAACCAATATTTTGTAAATCTTTTGTTCAAATCTCACCAATGGCATTCCATTTGTTTTTCATGTAACTGTTTGTTTTAGGAGGTCAATAAGTTCATATTTGTGTGAAAGACTTGCTCAAGATCAGTAGAGCAAATGAATGAGAATTAAAACGGAAAAAAAACTTTTTTTTTTCTTTCCATAGACATTTTTTTTTTTTAGTCTTAATCCATTTCTATAAAACGTCATTTCTTAATGCAGAGTAAAACTACTTGAACATCTTAGATCATGGAATTTTTTTTTTTCCTCCCATTACTCTTACGAATGGCTTTGTAAGCAACAATCAGCAGGATGGTGCACCCGGATAGAAAATTACCAAATTGATGGCTTAGAATTTGACCAGTGATTTGGGCAGCAAGGTTCCAATATCACACCTAGAGATCTCTTTTTTTTCTTTTTCTGCATTTGTTAGTTATTTTAAGAATGCAGTTTATATCAGAAAACCAAAAACACTTCAACATTAAAAGAGGGAAGGTTGAAGTTCTCATGAAAGATTGCACATTTACAGTGGCAATGGTGAATCATCTTAGAAGTATTTTTTTGAGAAGTATTCATTTGACTTTGTTGGACTTAAAATCTCATTTTGCTTTGCTTCTATTTTTAGGTTTCAAATTTTACTTTGTTTACACAATCTGCATATACACACACATATAAGAGAGAGAGAGAAACTTAAAATGCTATCCAACTTTAAATAATTCTTCACTTCCTAGTAATATTTCAGCCATCAATTCTAGAGTCAATTATTTGCAAACATTTGTGAACAAAACTACCATGAAATCCCGTTTCATGAGAACAGATTCAAGGGATGAAGGATTATTTTGCTTTGATAATGACAGGGAAAATACTTTGTTCAACAGAAAAATGTCTGCCTTGAAAGGAAGAAATGATGTGAAGACAAATGGTTTTTGCATATTTGATAGTTGGCAACAATGCTGCCATAGATCTTGGGCAAGGCTTTCAGCTATCATGGAAAAAAGTTCATGCATTTAGGGTAAAAATACAAAATCTCAATCAGGTTTCAAAGTTGCTTTTCCTTGATTGAATGACATTTTTTTATATTAATGTCATTGTGGATGGCAAGTTAAAAAATAATTGTAACTTCTCATCCTGGGGCTCAGGTTATAGGTTTTGCATTTAATTGGATGCCTTAATTTTTTTTTTTTTTTCTGAAAGCGGGTTTTATAAGTTTCTGTACTTTAAAATATTATATATAGACAAAAATGTATAAATTATCGAATTTATAATATACAAACTAAAACTTTAACCCAGCACTAAAGTTTGGTATCAAATTAGTTATTTTTCAGACATCATGTGATAGAATAGTTAGAATAATTTTATATAATAATGAAGATTCTAAATACTGATAAAAGGAAGTTGTGATGTGAAGAGGGGGCAAGAATATTTTTTTTTTTTTTTTTTTAATAAGAGAAGTAATTTTGTTTTAATATTTTAAAAAATTGTATCATCAGAACTTGTTACACTTAGAGGCAGAATTTACTTCTAACTATTTAAATGCATTTTTGATGCTATTTGTTGCAATTATGAATACATGAACCAACCAAACATATAACAATGGCTAATGAAAATCGTTCAAACCCTAAAACTGAAATTTTCCAAACCATTTGTTGATAATCCTAATGAGTCATAGTAATTAATGAAATAGTGAGACCTACTTAGTCTGGAGTTATTGTTTCCTTTGTGTTTTTAAAATTGTCTGATGAACAAGGGTTTTTTTTTTTTTTTTTGAGAAATAAATATATTGCCATAATAATTACCCAGAAACTATAAAGGGCACATCAGCTAATTGAGAACTTTATAAAGAAAAAAAACAAAGATATAGTAATTTTTATTTCTATTAAATATTTAAAAATATGTTTAATAACAAGGAGAGCCTCAGAAGAGTCTTCCAACCTGGATCAGGTGGTTTTTGTTAATGTCCTTGGTATTGTGAAGTAACTGGTTGTTCACCTTCTCAATGACTCCCCAGACATAATCCATGTGATTCAAATAGATAGGAGGCTACATTTTGGGGATAATATGATTGGTTAAGAATTTTGACAAACACTTTTGGGCCATTTGGGGGAGAGAGAGAAGTCATCAGCTGGAACATGGTATGACAATTGCTTCCATCTGAGGCTTGAGAGTGCCATGCTGAACACACAGTGATATAAGTAGTGGCATTGACCAAGAGGGAAGATGTAGGATGGCACAAATAGCTTGTTATTCATGAAACCAAGAACTATCGTAGAAAATTTGAACTTGATGCGTGCATCACTATGAATCCTCTTATTCACCTGTCTGGCCTCTTTCAAGTTGGTTGGCAGTTGGTGCCACATGCATGACATGGCTTTACATTTCCTGTGTCAGACTGAAAGATGCTGTGTTAATAGTCTCACTGTTTTTGAAAGAAAAAAATGGAGTACTTTGATGTAGCCATTTTAATCCTCACTGGGTCCTCCTTGCTCTGCGATCTTGTGCCACATCTGAGCTACTCTTAATAAATCATTATCTCAGAAGGGATCACTGTCTGAATGAGAAATGGGAATGTTAAAAGTTTGGTACCTGCTGCATAACATTTATTGTTCAAAGGTGTGTTCTTGAGTATCCATCACACCCTTTAATAGTGAGAATGAGGGTAACAGATTTGGTCAAATTGGTTGACTATATTTCTTTGTAGTGTATCAGATAGCCAACATATTTTCAAACTGCCTAGTTTGATATCTTCATCTCTTGTATATTTTGTTTGTTTTTTTTTCTTTGCTGAAAATGTTGTGCTGAATGTTTTTTTTTTTTTTTTTTTTTACTTTGTTACAGGAAATCAATCAAGCATTGAAGGAGATGCATGAAAAGGAAGTGCAACAATTGAAACAACAAATGCAAGCAGAAGAAGAGGAAAAGCTGAACAGTCAGAGAACATTATTAACAGCTGAAAAACAGGTGCGAGACACAAAACTCTATAGGTTGGACAGAGGGTCTTCTTCGCTATTTTATTTGCCAAGGGTTCAATTCCTTAAGAGATCCAAATAATTTGAAAAATGTCTGTTTCAAATTTAGGAATCTGTTATGAAAAAAGAATGGGATGGTTTTAGTCTTGCTGCCCCAGATCTTTTTCACACTTATCACCACAAACTTTTAAGAATACAGTAGAAATGAAACTGATTTTAAACTATAATTTATTTCTTTTCTTTAGCAATCAGTCTAGCATTGTACCAAATTTTTTAAATGTCTATTGCTTCAGCTTTTAGGTCTTAAAAGAACACACTAACATTCACACATTATCAATCTTACTACATCTAAAACAAAAAAGATTTAAATCTGTTTTATTTGTATTGATGTCTCTAATCTAAAACTTGTGAAATACTAAAATGTGAATATATTGGCTTTTCTCATTGGTAAATGATTGAAAATTAATCTCTTCATTAATTTCTCAATTTTCATTTACAAGCAAAAATCTAAACTCTTTTATAGAATTGTTGATTCTCTAAAATTTTTTGAAAATTAGCATTTTATACCCATAAAATAACCCTTAATTTGCTTTGTAAAAATTACCTGTTTCAAAATGTGTGCATTTTCTTTTCCAGCTTGTGTTTAATCAAGCGTTGTCCAAACTGGCTGAAGAAAAAGATCAGATAATTTTTGAGCTTGAAAAGAAACTGAATGAATTGACACGTCAAAATCAGAAAGTTGAAGGTAAGTTTCAGTCATCAGATTTCATTTGGTTTCCTTTTTTTGTAGAGGGACCAAATTAGTCTTGACTGTGATTTAATAAGGATGAAAATTTATGGACTCTTAAATGACCTATACTAAAAGTATCATTGGCAGGGTTGGACCATATTTTTATGGGGCACTTCAGGTGCCAATTTAATGGGGAAGAAATAATTAGGGCTACACATTATGTTTAGTAGTAGTAAGAAGGAAACAAACATTTTTGTAGTATTTTTCTTGGTTTGTTTTTAAGGAAGAATTTGAAACAGATTGTAATTAATTCCACCTCACCATTCTCCCACAAAAGTAACTGTTCCTTGTGTACAATGTTTGCTTTTTCATAAGATTGTCATATTGTCTTCACTGAAGACAGAGTTTTACTTCCACCAGACTAAACTTTAGCTATAATCACATTTAACACCATTACAGTATATTCATTTACTAATTGTGGCTTAGTATGATGCTCGGCCAATAGTAGAGTACCAAGGAGAATTGACCTAACTACACAAGTAAATTGCTTTGTAAGATGAGCTTGCTAAACATTAACTTAAAGTTGGTGTCTTTAAATTATAGATTTTGTTTGAAAAATGCTATTAGGAAAAAGATATAGAAAAAAAGTAGTTGTGGTCCAAAATATTCCTTGCTCAACAAAGAACAACAACGTGGACATGTCTCTTCCTTGAATAGTTGTTTTGTCAAATCTGGTGATCTTGGATCTGTGTGACTGATATTTTTGCTTTCCTGTCAGTCACTCTTGTACAAAATCCATAATTGCTATCAATACAGTTTTAACATTGACTTCTACTTTCATGAAATCTGAATAATTAGAGAAAATGACAATTCAAATTCTTTTTTAAAAGAACCAGAGATGAGGAAATTAGTTTTGCTTAAAACTCTTGAGTGGAAAAGTTTCATTTAGAATTTCAGAAAATCAACACTTTAAGCTTTCCTTAACTTTTAGGATTGATTAGAACCTTAATGTCTTGCATGGTCTCAGACATTAGGCATTCAGAATTGTGAAGAAAAGCATTATTGTAATTGAATTCACAACAGTTTGACAATCTAATTTAGGATGAGCAATAATTTGTTCACTTGTGTATGCCAACATTTCTCAGTACACACAAAGAACTGTCAACAGCTAAGTTTACATCCACTGGATTATCAATAAAATAATAACTATGCCTTGATATAAATTCATTTATAATTTCTCTTTGCATTTTCCTTCAGATCTCAGCCAAACTGAAGAAGAATTAAAGAAAAATCAAATGCATGTAGTGCAACTGGAACAAAAGATACAACAAATGGAGTAAGAAAAAAAAATTTTTGTTGGGAGGAGGAAATGTTGATTTTAATAAAAGATGTTTATTCTAAAAGTATTCTTTTAGAGTTTCTATTCTGCTTCACCCCAAATTTGATAAAACCTAAAACAATTTTATCAGTATTTTTAATCCTTGATTCTCTTTCAACACATCTATACATTTCTTTTGATTAAAATCCTAAACACATAATTTCTTATTAAACTTATTAAAGCAATATTGATACATAAGTCTAAGAGGTTACGGAACTAGTAAATAGTTGAACAATTTCTGAATGTTATTTTTAAATGTTACTTAGCAAGTATTTTTGTAAATGTAGAATCAATGAGAAAAATAAATATGTTCATCTCTTCTAAGGTTGACATGACACTGAACATGACTTCTTTTTTTTTTTTAACGTCTTGTGCTTAATTGAGAATATAAATCTATAATGTAAATAAATATTCTGACAATGAGATTTCAAGTGTTGCCCAAGAAATCTTCAATTTTTATCAGATCTTTAAATGAACCAAGAGATATATTCATGTCTTTGTGCAGGTCTTATCAACAACAGTTGCAAGATGAATTGGTAACTGCCAGTCAAGATGTAGAACCTGAAAGTTTGGATATTACAGCCAGGTGAATCTTTGATTTTTTTTTTCAGATCTTTGGATTAGTTAAGAATGTAAAAACAGATCTTTGTAACATTTCACTAAATGATATATGCTGGACTCTAAGATATATGGATGAGAGAATGGGTGGAAAAGGACAGGAGATATATATGTTGGTCACTGATGGAAAAAAGAAGATAAAAACTGAACAGGAACTCAGTATCTATGTCCCAGCAAACACGTATGTTAAGAACCTTCAGAATATTCTATTACTTTCTGCAAATCCTTATAAAAGGTTCTCTTTAAAACTAGTTATGTCATTCTGTGTTATTCATGCTTTTAGGCACTAACATTTATGTTTCACTTGAAATGAAGACAAAATTTTCTTTATACTTATTATATAATTGCTTTCTCCTTATTCTAGTTTGAACATTTTCAACTCAGCATTTTGTTGTTAAAATCATTCAATTAGTAAAAAATTATTCAAGATGCTTTTTAAAACAGGCCCTAAGCCTAAAAATATTTTGCTAAGGAATCTATAATCACTTGAAATCAAAGATTGCACTAGATAATACTGTAGTATACAAAACAGTTTTTATAAACTTTATCGTGATGTTATTTAAGATTCATGTGATTTATATAATTTAAATTTTTAATTTGTTTCATCAATGATTTTCCGTTTTCATACTGAAGAAATATATAATTTCTTAATTTTTTTTAATACTTTGAAATAACTTTTTAGTTATCATTTGAACTGAGTTACTTTTCTAAGGAATATATTAAGTTTTTATCAAACAATAACATTAAATAACATTTTTAAAAAAAAGTAACTTTAGTTAAGCTATGAGACATTTGCTGATCTTTTAAAATGGATGAAAGAATTTTAAGAAAATACATTCAAGAATTTTCTGCTGGTAAAGAAGCTGAATTCTTCAAATGCTGTCTCTTGTATAATGACTTTTTTCTTTTTGATAACTTGTATATTTGATCATAGATTAATAATTTTTATTTATTTTCAGGTCTGAGGAAGAAGATAAATTGATGGAAATGGAAAAAGTGAGAAATTTCAAAGATTTTTTTTGTTCACAATTTTTTTTTTTTTTTTAATTTTTTTCCAGTCATTTTTATATCTGGGTTAAATATCTTTCTCATGAGTTGATAAAGATAAATAATTTGCCCGACATTTTCTCAGCTGTTGACTGGATGATATTGGAAATTTAATTTCTTTGGATTCTTGAGTTAATTACTTATACAAGTTAAAAGTTTGCATGTGTTTGTGATTTTAAGTTGCTGAATCTTTTTTAGAACTTTATAAAATTTAAATATAGACCTGGAAATTTGTTGCATAGTGGCTTAGAGAAAAATAAATCTGCTCTTAGACACTATGTAGTAAATTGTTTTCATAATTCTATAAGAAATAATAAATACTTTATTTAAAGTTGTGACAGCCATTTGATTGAACCTTCAAATATTTTCTTTTACAGACCATGAAGTTTAAAGATGAGAGAATTGAGAAGTTGCAACATAAAGTGGTAAGTTGATAGATATTTTCACTATTTCACTGTCACCAACAATTGCTATATCTTTATTGTACCCATTTTACTTTCTTTTCCAGATGGAATTGTCTATGAGTGCCAGTGTACTGGAACAAGACAAAGTCTCCATCACAAGGTAAGTGGCCTGTTAGAATATCCATACTTGATTTTTCATTTGTGCATGTACATTTATATCTGATTTAAGATTCATATATAATTAAGTATTTTTTGCAAGATGTACTTTAAAGTAAAATTAAAACATCATAAGGATTTTGTGTGGTTGATTTACAGCTTCTGCAGCATTAGTTTAATAAGATTTGCTTCTTATATAAATATTAATCATAAAATGGAGGAAATCATTTGAGCTTGACTTAAATCCATTCATCCTACTTTTAATCATACTTTTATTTGGTGGAGGTTAGTCATTCATCATTTCTACACTGATCTATTAAATAAGATATCAGCAAATGTAAAATCATACATAAGTAGTTTATGTGGTTGATGAGGAAGCTAACTTTTTCTTTTTTTAAATTTGGTATTTACTAAATCTGAACTCATTCTACAAAAAAGGTCAAAGAAATTTCCAAAAGAATCCATCATTAACTGCAGCAAAATTTGTACTTTTATGCTAAAAGTGATAGTTCAAATTTATCTAATTTCTAGCAAGTTCATAATTGTCATACAATAATGACTAGAAAGCCATCTTTTGAACAGGAGTAAAGGTAGAATTGGGTTTCCAGTTACTTTTCATTTTCTTTCACTCTCAGTAACTCCATGCATCTTAGTGCCATTATAACATTGCTTGGAGTGAAATGATTAAAAAAAAAAAGGTTTCAGAGACCATTCCTACTATAGCGATTCATTGTGATTGAATCATACCTCTGAATAATGCAGACTGGTACCAGGAATTGTGGCTCTTAGTAAGGATTGTCTTTTTGCTATCTCTTGTAAACCCTGTTCTGCCAACCAATTACATAAGTTCATTATTTGCTGCTTTACTCTCTCTTGCCTTCAGTATGTCTTGTATGTATAAAATTCTCCAAGCCCTCTTTCCTCATTATGTGTCTTAGAAATTTCAAAACTTCATTATTGTTTATATGCTCAATCTATGGTATTCTCAGCGTCCTTCTGTAGAACATTGCTTGCTTCAATTCTCTTTATCATCTGTGTGGAGATTATTCAGCATTCACTGCCATATATTAGATCTGATATTGCATAACAGTTCAGTACTCTTTGTTTCTAACAAAATTTTTCCTGTTTCTTAATACTTTGCTTAGCATTTGCTATTCCAATGTACCTTTGAATTTTGGTGTCACGTTTTTTATCCACTTTGTAGATATTTAAATTTTTGTATTGGTTTGATTTTGGTTTCTCCAATTTGTATTTCACATCGTTGGATGTTTCTTTTGCTGGCAACCATATATTATGTCTTCTTACAATTGTTTAGTCCTTTCTTTTCACTTTTATTTTTTTTAAGGGTTCCTGGTTTTCCTTAATGTGTCTGCTATCAACACTGTATCATCTGCATAGCTTATGGCTGCCAATAATGGATCCTGGTAGGACTTCTAATTCTCTCAGGATTTGCCTCACTGTAAAGATTGAATAAGTCCGGTGACAAGACATGTATTTGTCTTATGTCCCTTTCTATTTTTGTGTATTTACTGGATTCGAAATCAAGTTTATGTAGCACAACTGAAACAGTTCTTTGTGTCATATATATCGAATGCTTTTGCATAATCTATAAAACATAGGTATAGATCTTTCTACATTTGTAGTGCTCTTTCTGATATTCTGAGCATGAATATCACATTCCTTGTTCCCATGTCTTTAATGAAACTGCACTATTCTTGTCCTACTTCCAGTCTAATTCTGCTATGCACTCTATTCATCAGAATTAGAAGTTTTGTTGTCTCATTAGGCTGATTGTCCAATGGAGTTTGCTATTCATTTGCAACTAGTTTCTTAGACAGCACTATAAAAATGGATCTACTTAGGCTTTCCTGTAATTTTGTCAATGCTGAAATCATCTAAAGTTGCCAGTATCTCTATTACAGTTCAATTTGGCTAGTACTGATTTCACTTCAAACTTTAATATTTTTGATCCATTGTAGAAGAGTTCTCTGTTGTCATTGTTCCTTCTTGATTATGGACATTTCTTTTATGCATATTTGTCTTATCTTTGATGCTCATTCTTTCTATTTCTGCACACTTTTCATTAAGATGTTCCTATTTTGCTTGCCTGTATTTGTTTGTAATTCCTTTGTGTAATGTCCTATATCCTGTACCATACTTTGATATTGTTGTCTCTTTACATCATGTTGAGAATTTCATTTCTAGTTTTCTTTGGGATGATTTTGTTTGCTTCTCTCATTGTGTCTCTTTAAGATCCCATACTAATTCTATACAAATTTCATGTTTCTTTTTTATTAGTTATCTCACAGGATGAATGGTATAATATCAGAAAAAAAAATGTTTTATCATTTGTGCATTAAACATCAGTTTTGTTTTCCTTTTCCAGTTTTCAATCTGGAGATTTGGTTTTGCTATGCCTGGATGAAGAGCATGGTCATTATGTAGTGTTCACTGTTGGAAACACTTTACATTTCCTACACACTGACTGTTTAGACAACCTGGGATTACGGCCAGGTAACTGCTTTCTTCCTCAAAACCAAACACATTTTCCTATATATAGTCTTAAGGTGTGCTATATTTATGGGATAAAGTGCTCAATATCAGATAGAGCGGGTGTAAATATAAAAGTGAACATTGAAGTCAATACTTAGGTGACAGGCTGTTTCATGCTAGACACAATTGTCAGGCCTGTTCACTTTTATTTATATATATATAAAAAGAAAGAACAGCAACATATAGCGAAAAAAACATTTTAAATCAATTAATTTATTATATATATATATATACACACACACACACACAGTGATAGAGTAGTGAGAGGCTTGAAAGGAGTTGTAGGGTGGAAAACAATTCATCACCCACAAGGTCATATAAACACTTTTGAACTCTATGAATACAGGCAATTGAGGACTGGGTAGCAGTACTCCATTTTTGGATTGATCTGGCTCATGTAAATAGCAAAGGGGGATTCAGGTACTTACTGGAGTAGTACAATGAACCAACCATTTTTCTAGCATCTTTAGCAATGTTCCATTTCAGGTCTGGTGTAAGCTTGAGCCGAATTAGACATTTATTGCAAGGAGTCTCCTTGAGAGAACATGGTGGTGGAATGTTTCGAGCTTGAACGCATTGAATTTTACAAGCCAGTCCTTCCCCATGGAACCACCTATGCTAGGTCAGAAGAAAGGTGAGATGTTAGGTTCTGCTCATCCAAATTTTTGTAGGTGCACCATATGAACTATTGTATCATTTGCATAGATATTTCTTCAGGATTGAAGCATGTTCTTAGGCAGATCATTAATATAAAGTAGGACTGAGGAGAGAACCCTGGCCATCAACAACGGCAATCAAAGACCTACCTGCTAGGAAGGCTTAACATTTTGATTTGGGTCTAATCATATCACCATGTTAAACAGGGGCCTTTAGATATTAGTCTCGTGCCTGTAACCTCTATCATTGAGATATGAGACAAAGTGATTTTTGGAGGGATTCATTTTTTATCTAACCATTATAACTCTTCACTTTTTTCAGGTCCCAGCACACCAAGAGAACCATGGGTTTTGGGTGTGATTACTGATAAAGAATATTGCATTGCAAAGAAGGTCAGTTCCATTTTTTTTTCTTTTGCATGATACACATGAATTAACAAGAGCTGTTGTTGACAGTTGTTGTCTATATATAAAAAAATAAAATTATAAATTGGCTAGATTTTCCAAACAGTGTTATTTTTTTCTTATTTGTACAAGTAACAAGATAACAAAAAATTTCTTGTTTTAATTTCAGCCTCAAAATAGATACCGTGTACCCCAAGGCACCAAATTTTACCGGGTACGAGCTAAACCATGGCCAAAAGATCCCCGCCTGACACGTGAGGGGGGTAGCATTGGTGTTTCTGCTTCTTATCATGGTGCTGCAGTTATTGTTACAACAACCACTGCTGCAGCAACAACAACTACAACCACCACCACATCTATCAAAAGCAGCAGCAGCAGCAACACCTCTTCCTGAAAGAGACTGCTTTTCTTGTCTTTTTTTTTTTTTTTCCCCTCCTGCCCTGGTTGGAGGAGATGCTGCCCCCTCCAATCTGTCTTTTGTAAAGTCAAGTGATTCTGTGTGAGCCATGCAGCAGCATCCTGTCTGCAATGCTCCTCTCCCTACACTTAATCTTTTTTTTCTATCTTCATTGGAACTCAAAAGTGGATGGGTCTGCCACTCTCCCACCCACTGTTAACCTCCTCTTCCTCACTCACTCACTTCTCTTCTGCTGCTGTTGTTGCTGCTGCTGCTGCTGCATAGTGAATGTGTTGCCTGTCATTGTGCAGTGTTTTTTTTTTTCTGATTGTTGTACAAATTTACATATAGAATTAAAATGAGTCTGAAAATTAATTAATTAAATAAATATAATAAACTTTCACTTGATGTTTTGTCAGTTTGCTGTTTTTAGTCTTTGGAATTTCTTTTCAGCAATAAGAACAGGACATACAAGCAAATGAGTATTTATTGTAAATGCAGAAATTTCAATAATCTTTAACTATTTCAGTTTTTAAAAAATGAGAAGGGGAGGATTGAAAAGTATCCACTATTGAGTGTTGAACTAAATAGAATTAATTTTATATACTTTATTTCACTTCTCTTCAAAACCTTGTTAACAAGGTGAGAATTTAAACTTGGACACTTACTGTGTCTTATTTGCAAAGGTTAAAGTAACATTTTATGTAGCTGACTTTTCACTTGTTGCATCTCCTGCTGCCTCTGGAAAAAGGAAAGCAAATATAGAAAATTGACAAAAAGGGGCCAATAAATAATTTCTTGAGACAAAGGAAATATGTGTTTCTCCGAAAACATAATTTAGATATTTAAAACAAATTATACAGTTATTATTCAAAATGTGTGGTCTATATATATGAAGGTGTGCTGAAAAGTTCTTGATTTGACCCACCTCCCAAAATCAGTATTTCAATCACCAAACATCAGCTTACTGATTTTGGAAAGGGTTTTGAGCCAAGAACTTTTCAACTGAGTGGATAAAAAGTTTGTTTGGTTTATTAAATGAAAAGTATTTTAAAAACAATTTTGGCATTAACTTTATTGTTTTATTCTAATAAATTTAAATATTTTTCATTATTCTGCTGTCTTTAGAAAACATTCTTATAGTTCAGGTTTCTTTGGTGACTATTCTGCTTAACTAGTTTTTGTTGATTGCTGCCTTCAATTAGTCTAATTCCAGAAAGAGTACACAGCATGACTTTGAATAGTGATTTGCACACATGAAATATGGAAGCAACTAATTTTCTACATATATATTCCTACATACTGATTATTCTCAAGTAATGCCTTGATTTGATTATCTTTAGCAAGAGATTACCAGTATAAAACTTCAAAAGCTTTTGAGCTGTTTCATCATAGTACCTTTTGCCTAAACTGTATATAATTTTTTTGCATTTGTGTCATTTTTACCTTAAAAAATGAAAGATGCAGAATAGGCAAAAAATGTTATTTTCTTTCATTCCTGAAATCATGCTGGTATAATAGCTGTCAGCAATTTTTTTTTTAATGAAGCTTCTAATGTTATTTAACAACAAAAACAAACATAACTTTTTGACCAACCTAGTACACACACTGACACAAAAAGACAAATTACTTAGGCTTAATTTATCAGCTAGCCTTTCAAGTGAGATTTTAACATTTAGAATTTATAAAATATAAGTTTCTGCAAAAGAAAAGAAGAATTTTAATGCCTTTCATTTGGTATTTACATTTTTGTAAACATTACCTGTTCTTTGCCCACTCAAAAATTGTATATTTAAACGTTTATACCCATACAAAAAATGGAATGCAGAACCTAATTTACATCTTAATGCATATTGAAAAAGTGGGGAAAATTAAAAATGCCAACTTACAGCTTGATCAAGAAGCTTGTTCTGGAGCCTTTGCATTTGGTTTTTCATAACGGTTTGAACCTGTAAAAATAAATAAACTAGCAAGCTACTTAAACTTGTTTTAATGTAATTATTGTATAATTATTACTTGTAACAAAATACTGAGTACATGTAATATCTTAAACAAACAAGAAAACGCACAAAAATAAATTATATGGGAAAAATGTATGACAAAGTGGAAAAAGTTTTCTTGTGACACCTTTTGTCCTTTAGGACTTCATCAGACAAAATGGGTTACAAGGAAACATTTTCCACAATTTTGTTCTTGTGATATATATATATATATATATATATATATATATAAAACATCAAGAACAAAATTTGAGTAATGGATAGCAGCTTGGATTGAGGAATCAGAGAGCCTAGTTTGAATTCGTCAAATCTATTACTTAATGTGGTTGGTTCTGCACAAAGCCTTCAGCACTAGAATCAAATCATATGTGCCAGTATCTGGCTGTTGGTTCCTGAGTTGCTTGACCCTCATACATCAAAAAATGATGGGAGAGTCCAGTATATATATATATATATATCCTATTGCTCTCAACATTATTTTAGTGGATGCCCTGTTTTATTTATGTCTCCCCATCTGTGCATTTGAGAAGCCTAATAAAGACAATGTTTGAAGTTGTGTCCTTCTCTGCAATACCCCTCAAAAAAAAAAAAAAACAGACATGTATTCAAACCTGAGTATCCACTAAAATAACATTTAGAGTAATAAGAAATAGTGTTAGATTAGAAATAGAATCCATTGATTACTCAGAAATCATAGATATTACACATACAGACATTTTTTTAATAAAATATAATCTTTAAGTACAAATTATTTTATGAAATAAATCTAAAATTAAAATTTCCAAATGTCAGAAACAAATTAACCTACCTGATGTTGTGCATTGTTGGAATTCCCATGAAAACTGATTGCTTGATGATGGAGAGAATTTATCATCTTCAATTTCTTTAAACTGAAAGAAAAAAGAATTGAAAACATTTTATGTGTCTATGCAATTCCAGTTCTTGGATTTGTAACAGGTGTAACATTAAATCACTTCAATTATTTTAAAAAAAAGAAGCCATGAGCTGTAAAGAAAATGAAATTGTTTTTGGAACAGTTAACAATTAAGTCTCATGACTCCATCCAATGAGTCTTATAATATAATATTTTGTACACTTGTGGGAAATAAATATTTGACGGTAAGATTTTGACTGAAGGTTCCTTTATAAAAACTATTCATTGAAAACATCAATTATATGCATATTTTAAGTTTTTCATCGTCTTAGCTTGCTAAAATGAGTAAATTGATTTTTTTTTTAAATTTAACAAAATATAAAACTAGAAATGTTCAGTAGATATCTCCATGAGGATTTTAATGATAATACAACTAAAAAATATGTGAAAATTAAAAGAATCTAAGGTATTTTTTTAGGTTAGCAGAACATCTGCCAAAATGTAACTCAATAGATAACTAGAGGTATCAACAAAAATTCAAGTGACTTATCTCAGGGTTCAACTCAAGAGTTTCACATCGAAATGCTCATCAGAGCCAGATGTTCAATAAAATCTTAAGATCTGACCCTGATGTTCATTTCAACAGGATACTCTTGAGTCGGACAATCAGATGTCACTTGAACTTTTGATTTTTTAATAAGTATTTTAATGTAAAAATAAAGATATTTTAATAAATATATCTGAAATTTATATTTAATTAATACTTTCTGTCATAAATATTAACATAAAAATCCAAGAACTAGCTATTTATAAAACTGTTAAGAAAGATGGGGAAATCTATTCTATTAATAGTTTACTATAAAATAGTAAATAGTGCTTATTTTTATTATTTCAAAGAGATAATTAAAAAATCTTCAAATTAATATAAAAAAAATCTTAAATAATTTTGATGTTGTCTCATTACAGAACAAAAAAATACTGTTTAAAAAAATTGTTTACCTCTTTTGCTGTATATCCTTCAACTTTTGCATGTCCTTGAGCTGCTCTTGGAAATAATCCTTGGACAAACAAAAGAAACAATGAGGCTTGATTACAGTAATTTTTTTTATATAAACTATAGTATTGTAATTTAAAAGATGAGTTTTTGTTTATATGATATTTACAATATTAATGCTTAAAATATTTCTTGTCTATATATTTAAGTAAAGAATAAAATCTGAAACATACCTTTAGCAATAAATAAAGGCAATTGTTAAAAAGGAGGGAACAAAAAAAGGATTGGGAATACTGTTCTAAATTTGTGTCTTAGAATTTTGGATTTTCTTTGATTTAGTATACAATCAGACTCTGGTAATTTCTTATGTGAACTGTTTTCTATATAGAATTGCTGTCATTATTTTATTTCATATCAAATACAGATTTATTTTTAAAATATTTGAAGAATTATTATCATTATCCTCCTCATTCTGTTTTGAAATAGATTGTTTTTCTTTTTACAATCTGCTTCCAAGTTCCAAACTGAAAGCTCAAGAAAGTGCAAGTTAACAGATCATGATTGTTGTTAAAATTGGTTGGATATGTAGCTGACATTCCCAGCATCATTCTTCTTAATTGTATCATGTTGTACGGTTTTGTATATTAGTTTAATACTTCATTAAAATCTGTATGTGTATGCACAGACAAAAAGTATATTTTCTTTTTACAATAATGTTCACTCTGTACAAAGCCCAAGAGCAATTCGAGGTAGAAGATTACAGGGTAAAAGGCACAATTTATAGAGATATATAGGGAAGATAATGATTAACTCTAAAATTGCAAAGGTTAAGATTGTAGCATTAGTTATAGTATTGTAATTAAATGTACTTTTTTATTGTACTTTTAGTTGGTTCCACAAAGTAGTGCTTTGTGGGAAGAAGCTCTTTGATGAGTGGAATATTTCTAAAGGGAATTCAAACTTGGCTCTCATCAGTGAAATCATTTTTTTTCTTTATCAGAAATTTAATTGTAAATATACCTTAATTAAAATTTTTGATATTATAACTGTTTTAGCTAATATCCAATAATGATGCTATTTCCACAACTCTTTACATAGTATGTCATTTATTTAAGTCAGTATAAGGAATCAAGAAATAACTTAGTAATTAAAAAAACAGTATTGAAGCAGGCCTTTGAAAGAAGATTAAACTTTATATTAAGTACTAATTTATTTTATACAGAAATTCCAACTTTTTTCATACAAGCAGTTTATGCCCTGGTTCTTGTGATTGTTCAAAATAAATATGAGAAACTCAGCCTCTCCAGATTCTACATTCCTTTTTTTCCTTTTATAAACATTTGTGAGCTATTTTGACTGCTTGCTTAGATCAAAGTGACCATCTAAATAAATAAATAAATAAATACATAGATGGGAGTGTTGGTCTCATGTCTGCAAGAGTTGCATATTTCCCAATCACTGCAGGCTAATATTTGAATTCAGGTAATGATGAGGATTTTAAATACCGATTTTCAAAGCAATATGGAAAAACTAACATTATAAATCTCTTATTGACCGTTTTCTCTTGTGCCATACTAAACTCTGCTAAATAAATATTTACTTCCATATTTGATGCACTAATTTATAGGGATCTGTTTAAGCTAAAATATGCATTTATCATCATAGAACAGCTCTAAATGTATATCACAAATACATTTGATTAATTTTTTAAGGGCAATGAAAAATGTTGAAAACACCAATAATTGTATAAGAAAAGATATTTTAAACTGAATTAAAAAAAAGAAAAAAAAAGGAACATTAAGTTTGAAAAGTTTACATCAAATTTTGTTTTGATAAGTTATTAATCAGTGAATACTGGAAAAATAAAGTTATAGTAACGAGATATTAAAGGAAAAATAGTTGGAATATAATAATGCTAGTGTGAAAGAAATAATGATCCCTATATTATAAATGATAGGGTCAATTGTTATCTACCCTACTTCCTACTATCTTCCATTCCACTCACTTCATACACCTCAATCATTACAAATTCGACTATAGCCCTCGAGTTGTGTATTGGGTAATATTTAGTAAAAAGCAAAAATAATAGCTCATAAAAATGCATGTATGAAATTTAACTGTCAAAAATGCTTAAAGGGAGACAACTTTCACAAGTCGAGATAAGCCATTTTTAATCAGTTATTTTAAGGTAGCTTAATATTAATTATATTTCAATCTTCACACAGGAAACCATACCTGCTGGACTGATGTACTGCTTTAATTATTATAATAATAAAGTCGTACATTTTGGTAATGTTGCACGAATATGATTGTATACAGTTGAGATTGTTAAACATACTTTGTTTGTATGTCATCTCTTGTTGAGTGTGTATTTTTGCAAAGCCTTAATGATTTGAGGGTTAATGAAAAAGATATGTACCAAAACTTTCTTTTTTTGTTTTTCATAAGCTGTTGTACTAGCTTCAAGTTCATCCATCACCTGCTGAATTTTTTGATCAAACTCATTATGAACATCAGACCTTAAAGAAAGAAAGGGCAAGTTTTTAGACTGAGATGTGAACTAAAGAATAAAAAAAATTAGCAATGTTAATAATAGGCAAGCAAAGTGATACCTGAGTAGCAATGTTAATTATGGAAATTCAGCCATATTTTGTATGAGTCAAAGTATGATATCCTATAGACGATGTTAGTAGTTTTTTGTTCATTTTCTACTGATTTTTTAATATTTTACTGGATAAACAAGATAAAATAAGAGCTGATGAAATGCTGATATATACATAAAGAATTTGATAAAAAAAAGTCATATAAGATGAAAGAAAATATGTCACAAATAGCATATATTTCAATTTGAAAAAACACTAGTAGCTAAATCATTACCTATTAAATTAAAAATTAATTTAAGTTGTTCAAAAGTTAAGAAAGTGTTTAACTTAAAATCTTCAGAAGCTTTAAAAACAAGTACAATTTCTAGTAATAAAAAATAAAGCTCTTTCAGATATGCTATGTGGTTAAAAGAGTGATTTCATTGCAAATATTGCATTTGAAATTTGATTGCACTTTATACTATTCATGGAAAATAAGAGATTAACAAAGTGAAGTGAGTGCATCAGGGCCATCATTTTATAATTCAGTTTACAGTATATTCATTTTTCATAATATTGAATATAATTATTTATGTAATTTGCATCTGGAGGAGAAAGTGTTACTTACCTTTTGAGTACATCCTTTTCACATATTTTGCTGAGAGATTTTTGGGTACTTTTTAAAACATCCTCAACAGCAGCTGACATCTTAGACTGTTTTGTCTGATTCAGACAAGAAAATATTGGTTGAATTTTTTGTGAAGTAGAATTTCTGTTTTTATCTAAATACATTAGAATTTATATTCTGGTTTGAGAGAGTTAAATTAAGGAAAGCAGATAACTATCTCACATCATTTAAGTCTCTTCTTCCTTATCTTTATTATTTTCCATGACATTGTCATCTTACTTGTAGCCTTTTCTCTTGACAAAGTGGATATCTATTCTAAGAAGTTATTACAAATTCTAATATAACTGATGGTTCATCTTATGTTAGTTTGAAATCAGATACAAAAAATTGTTGCTATCAAAATATACAGTTATTTCAAAAAGTAATCTTTTAAAGTTTCTTTAATATTTTATTGCATGTTTACATGATGGGTTTAACTGAAAGCTTTTGCTAATCATCAATAAATGATATTTTTCATGTTAAAGTTGAAACAAAAGTTGACTTTTTCATTCAAATTCATTTTTATTAAAGAAAAAAAAATTTTCTTTGTTATTGCTATTAAAATCTTCTCCTTTGAGATAATTTTTACAGCTTCATCTTTGTCAGGTCTCAGAATATTTTTATTACACATTTGTTTGCTTTTTTTATTCATTTTTTTGAATGTTTGCTTTTAGCTTTTGGAACAAATGTTCCAGTTTTATTAAAGATGATCAGCAATTGAATTGGGTCCAGTTTTTCAGAAAGTTATTTCAAGGAATTATTTATTTTAGGTTTTGAGTTACTGGAGTGAGGCTTTCAGGTACTTACTCTACGTGAAAAAAATCAATTTCCAAATCATTAAATTTATGCAAACTGCAGATTTTATTCAAATGTTTTCAATTTTTGATCATCTTTTTGTTTTACAAGATTTGCAATTTCTATAACAGAAAGGCATTCATTTTTAATTACTCTCAAAATAAACAGGATTTCCTGAGTGAGATAGGCAATGATTTTGCACTTACCTGAATAGACTTTTTCATATCTTCAGAAAAAGATTGAACAATATTTTTAATATTATCATCATTATAAGTCATAGAGGGTGCTTTCTGATAGTGAAATGATTTGTCAGACTGCACAGAGAAATCATAGGATCTAATATCATTTCTTGAACTTTCTTCATGGCTGCTATCATGGGAGTTGTCATCACTTGAAGCCATATTGACAGATTTGTCTATAATTAAACAAATATTAGCATATTTACAAAAATATTTTGGCAAACTTGGACTTTCGTGCCCATAAAAAATGGAGTGTTAAAAGGACATTTTTCGCATTGACATTACTATTATTTTAACTGCCTTCATACCTCAGAAATGTTTATTGTTTTAAAAAGTGATGATTAGAATTGTAATAAAACCTAAACAGCTATGGAAAAAAGGTTTATTCCCAGGTTTTATTTCTCCCATTATGGGTATTATTATACCCATGATATAATAATTTATTACACAGGTGGAACGGAATGGTTGAAAGAAATTGAATGGCAAACATGTTCTGAGATTTTATACCACTAAGTTATATACAGAATTATAAACACATATTTACATGTGTCCCACCCAACACAGAGAAACTATAACACATATACAACAACAAGCAGTGTCAAAAGTGGATGAAAAGAGAGTCTTGTGATAATTCCCAACAGGAATTGGAGCTGCTTGAAATTCTTTGTGTTTCTGAGGAAGCCATATTTAGGATTCCAGATTTGTGCGGGCTGGATTTATCTGCTATATCACTAGCAAGGACATTCTTCTCAAATGGGAAATGGCTAGCCTTGGGGTTTTTCCCAAATTGGGGCTTGCAAGCTGAAGATATATCTTAACCAGATATAGAATCTATTTCCATAGGAAAATGGTTCCATATGCTTGTGGGCTGCACCACATTGCAGTTGGCTGAGAGAGGTAGATTTAATCTCAGCCATAGAGCACAGGATAAAAAAGCATCTACTCAATTTGCATCCTGGAAGCTAACTAACTAGCCCCTTTTGTCACTATGAAGTAACATCACTAAGTGGCTGTCATGTGACCCCAAGTGACTTCCTCTGGACCAAAGGGTTTTGTAGCTCTACAGTTGGTTCACATATTTTAACAATTTACTAAATGTTTATAAATTTATTATAAAAAAATTGTTTTCATACTTATTTCTTTATAAATTTATAATTGATAAATATTGCATTGCATTAATTTTAATTGTATTAGTTTTTAGAATGTTGTAAATATAAAATTATTCTTGTAAATAAATGAACTAATATATAGTGTTCAATATTTTTGTTGAAAATTCTCAAGAACCAAAAAAAAAAAATGTATAAATTCACTTTTGTCATGTTTAGGTTTTATTACAATTCTAATCATCAACAACTGAAGGTAGTTAAAATAATCGCAGTGTCAATGGAAAAAAAAAATTATGTCCGGTTGACACACCATTTTTTGCAGGCATGAAGGACCAAGTTTGCCAATACTTCCTTGTGTTATGTGTGTATCTTTATTAAAATTCTCAAAGATTCTTTCCATTAGGATATGCAAAACTAACAGATGAAAACAAAGAGGAGAATGTGTTTGTCAAGCTCAAGAGATGAGATAGTAATTCAATGAGTCAAACAAAAAAATACTAGTTCAAACATTTCATTGGAGGAAGGACTTAAAATATTTTACTGATATACTTTTATAATCAGCAAATTTTAATACCCAATTTAAAGGCTGATTAAATAAAATTCAATATTTATTACATTAATGGAATATAATGAGGAAGGATAAAAAATATTGTATGTAAAAGGAAGCATCTACATTCTATTTCTTCATTATAATAAACTTCTGAGATATTTAGCTGCTCTGTTATGAACTCCAATTTCAATGCTTTGCTTATAGTGCTTTCATTTTGTGTTGACAAAAAATAAAATGGAATGGTTTCTAATAACAATTCTTTGTTAATTATTTTCTAAATCTGTTGTGCAAAACCACATTTGTAGTATATCCAGTGAAGAAGAAAAAATCACTAACAATAACTCATAAGACTAGTATGTGTTTTTGCAAGTTCTTTACTGTCAGTTGGCTGAAGTATTTGTAATTACATAACAGTTGTACTTTTGGATTAGCATGATTAAGCCAAGTTATTTTAATAACCTATTTTAACACAAATCTAGGAGAACAAAGCCAATGGGAAACTTTTGAACTGCAGTTTATCTGTATTTTAATTTGGTCATTGAAAAAGAGGATAATTTAAAATATTAGGCTCATGGAATACGTTGTAACATTTAGTAACAGTCTATATTGATTATAATTTCTTAAAAAACAATTTTAAACATCGGGTATTACTTGCAAACAAAGTGAATCAGAATTTCTCTTACCTGAGATAGACAAAGATGAACAGAGGTTAGGTTTTGCATTGTATTCAACCTAAAATGAAACAAAGACATTACATTTGGTATATATAGCTAATTATATTTCTGTATAAGTGACATATAATTGGATTTCAAATAAGTATTTCTTAGTTTTATCTTCATGAGAGTGGAATAGATTAAATTAATTAATAGGATTATATATCTCCAGACAAATTTACAGAAGTATAACTGACTACAAAGAGATTTAAACTACGACAGACTAGATGCAGTTCAATTAATAAATCAATGTATAATACTAGAAGAAGTACACACTGAAACTAAATTAAAAAGATTGAGAATGTAAATTTCAGTTTTGGATTCAACTGAAAAGTTTGAGAAAATAACTGAGGTCATCCTGTAAGTAATATTCAAATTTATGCTCAGAAAAAACTTTAAAAATTTATGCTTAATTAGAATTGATTCTAATTCATAGGCTATTGATAATGATGGAACCCATTTCAATAATTCAAAAATTTCACAATACCATTTTTATAAGTCTGTTAGTTTGAAGGAAAAGAATGCAGAGAGGATACTTTCTAATTTTTCATGTGTTTTAAGAAACTGTCCATCAAGATGTTTTTGTAAACACTGGAAGATCTGGCAACTGTGTTGTAGCTCCACCTCCTCAGTCCCACACAAAAAATACAAAATATTGTACAGTTTGACTCTCTTAGGTGTATATATATAAAACAGGCCCAAAAGACAAAAAGTAAAGCAACATGTACCCTCAAACTTGTCAAGAAAAATAACTGAAATTTATATGATGGCAAACAAGATGTATTTCCCACATGCAATGTTGCTGTAACATTAAAAAAGTAACTGGGTGTGTTCACATGTTTCACATAGTGGACCAGGATAAAACAGCCCCGAATACCTCACTGGATAATGTTTATTGTTCAGCCAAGATAAAAATCACTTAAATACATATGATAGACTTTAAGTTACTTGAAATAAAAAAAATGTCTGTCAACTGAATAGTGTCCTAACATTAAAACCACTTTTATTTCAATGCAACCTATACAGGCTCATACAGCAAACCCAAAAATGTTGCCTGGAGTGTACTGAAAGGCCGGCTATTATCTGGCAATTAGATAGAGCAATATTTGGTAAATAAGTTTGATCACTAAGTTGGGGATATTTCCCAGCCAAGTGATCAAACTGTGCTTGTTTTTCTTCTGAGAACTGCTTAAACACTAATAGCTAACAATAGATATCTGCTGTACCTGTAACATTGATTCAAATTAGAGCACCACTAAACACTGACAAAAACCATCCTTGGATAGAGATCCATTTTAGCCATTCCATTAGCAGCAGCATTTTATATTCTTGTAAAATATGCATTATTTTTACCAACAGTAGTTAATCAATCCAAAATGGCAAGATGTGTTCATAGGAATGCAGGGAAAATGCAGATGTCAAATTGCCTTTTGTCAAATCATGGGAACCCAAGTTTAGTCACCTTTCTGTTGCAGATAATGGTCAACCAGTGGGTGGGTGGCTTGAATTTAGTTTTTGAGCAAATTCTTCAACTATAACAAAACTATTTTGTAATGTGCTCAGACAAAAGAGAGTCATCATCAAACTCAACAGGCCAACATGTTGGTGGCACATCTTTTAAACTGAACTGACCTTTTCTAAACGTTTCAAGTTATAATTTCTTTCTTTTAAAGAATCTATCCCATAAACATCATATTTTGGAGTTACTTTTCTAATCTTATGCACCATGTCTTATTTTTTTGTAGATATGTTTGTCTTTTAGCAGCTCAAGTTAAATCTTATTCTGGTAATGTAACTTATTTAAAACTCTATGAACATGTACTAGTATATATGGTTACTGTTTAGGTGGTTCATAAAAGCAAAAAATGTAATTCACTCTCTAGCTATAAGTGTTTAGACACTTTTTGAAGGATGACCTGATATTTATATTTCCACAAATTTAGACTTATATATCGAGATAATGAAACTGTTTTGTTGTTTGCTGTTATTGCACTTTTTATGTTTACCTTTTTCAAAGATCTTCCATGAATGAGGAATCTATTTGTAGCAATTGGGGAAGGAAGAGAAGACTTTTGGGATTCATTACTACTGTCTGACTTGGGATCTGAGAAAAGACTTTTCCTGAAACCTGCTTTTGATTTGTAATCACCTTCTGTATAGAACAAAGGTGAGAGCTCCTTCACAGGAGTACTGTGGCTTATATCTTCAAGTTTGGTATCCTTAAATGATGTGTCAGTGTGTGTTAGTCCAAATTGATTTTTATTTGACTCATTTATGTCTTGGTCTGGTCTGTTACTCTTTAGGTCATCAATGGTCAAATAAGGTGAAGGAGAGAGCATCAATTTGGAGCCATCATTAATGATGGGGTCATTCTTTAGAGACTGAAATGAACTGTCAGTACCAGGAGTAGGTAGAAGAAGCTTTGGATCTTCTGCACTAGAGAAAGTCATTTCAAAATCTGAAAAATTTGATTTGTTACTAAAGCTGTATGTTGGATGGCTGCTGCTTCCCTGGAGTGTGAATTCTGCCTTTGAAATGTTGATGTTGAGTTTTGAATCTTCTGGAAACATAACAAAGGAGTCTGCTCTTTGTATTTCAATACTATCAGAGAAAATGGGTTCCTAAGTAAGAAAAGAATAACATATACATTTGGTGATGGATATATTATAGTCATAATTCTATAGCATTAATAAAAATTACTATATTTCATAAAGATGTAATCAGCAATGTGTGTTTTTTTTAGAGTAACATGAAAATAATATAACAGATATTTTATTTTGTTAAGTTTTCAAAGGAAATTATTTCACAAATTCTTTATTAATAATTTTGGTATTTATATTTGTCTAAATCTTTGTAGTTATAATTATAAATTTACAGACTTGGCTCTCATTCTCCTTATTAATGATCATGATATATGCTCAATAGTTTAAGAATATTTTAATTATAAACTGAGCCATAGTTTTTCCATTAAATGATCAATAGAACTTTATATTTTATTCTAATATTATCTTTTTATAATAGAAAATCTCAAAAAAGTATATAAAATAAAAGAGTTTTGTAATTATTTTAGTATTGTTATTTTTCATAATCATAATAAACAATTACATAGAAATTTGTACAATTGTATGTTGATATAGAATTAATTTCAAATTATTTGTAGTAGGAAAATTGACTCCATCTTATTAAATTTGTTATGGCATTTTCTTTTGCTTTGTTTGCTTTTACTTATTGAATCAAAGATAAAATACAAAGAAAGATAATTGCTGATAATTACAAATCTACATGTGTATACAAAAAGAAAATATGTTTGTAAAAAAGTCACAATCTAAAATTTAATTAAAAATATTCATCAGTAAGAAGAAAAGAATGCTATATATTAAATAAAATTCCTATGTGTCAGCTCAAAAAATTTGTAATGGAAAAAAAAAGAAAGAAATCACTATACCTTCATGCATGTTTTTTTCTTTTTAGTTTTTTTGTTCATTTGCCAATCTGAACTAAGAGAAAATTTTGCTTTGTCATGGCTATTTTTAGGATGTTGTGGGCTGTAAGTACCAAATGACTTAGAAAAATCATGATCGGTTTTGCCATTTAGTTCAGGAGAAGCATTGCAGCTGATTTCTTTGGGGCATAGTTCTTTGGTAAATGGGTCCTTTGTTTGTTTTGTGTCATTTCTTGTTTTGTCTTTAGTGCTGTCATTGCGTTTACGCTTTGGTATGCAAGCATATGATCCATAATAAGAAGTCTGTTTCTTGATGGCATAAGTTTTTTCAACATGAATCTTTGGAGATTTAGACTTTTTAGGATTAATCCAGCTGATTTCACTTTGCCTGTCAAAAACAAAAAAGAGTTTGAGAACATTCAACTACATACTTTATTTGTTAGCATGATAAATTACATAACTTAAAAAAGTGAAACAACTTATCATAAATAGATTAGCCAAAGACAATGGAGGTGTAGATGGTGTAATAATTAGAAGTTTGGAACAAGGAGTCAGCAAGCCGAGTTTGACTTCTGGTTGAGATTGTTACATTCACTTTTGCACAAATACTCTTGGGAAAAGTATGACTCCATCACTCCCAGCTATCAGTTAAATAGCAGGGTAGACTAGCCTCTCTAACCATGGTTGGTAACCAGTATAGAAGTTAGGACAATTCTAAATTCAAAACCATATCTAACCCTGGTGGAGCACATGCTTGAAATGTAATAAATGGATTTTTTTAATAAAATATAAATTTTATATTACCATATAAAAGAACCTATTGACAAAACAAAATAGATGCATGATTGGAGTTGAATAATTTGAATTATATAAAGAAAATTCTTTTTCTAGAGTTAAAGTATTTGACTAAATATTTAAATCTTAACAATTTATACATGAACAAGAATCTTAAGTAGCTTCTTCAAGTTATTATAATTCATAGATATTTATGAATATGAAAAATTCCAATTATTATTTAGACAACTGATTCATTTTATTGTCTTCTGAAAGAGTACAATTCATATAGAAAGAGGAGGGGTCTTTTTTTTTTTACTACAGGTAATATAAATTAGAAAACAGTGGCTAACAGGAAAAAAAACAAAAGAAAAATAACATTGTGGTAACAAAAATGCAATAAAAAGAGAGCAACAGTGTAAACAACTTTTGGAATGATAATGACTCATTTAAAAAATACAGAGGGTATTATTAAAAAATATACTGCTTTCCTTCCAAATTAATATTTTTCTCATGAATGTTATAGATTACTCAAAAAGCAAACAATTAATCAGAAAGTAGCTAGCATATAAAATGTTTTATAAATTAATTTGTACAAGTAAAAAAAAAAATCAAGACAAATAATATTAATATATTTTATCTGCATGCAATTAAATACCTTTTTTTAAATTTAATGGTTGCTAAATTTATTAAGCAAAATCTTTGAAAATTTAAATACAATTGAGAAAGTTAATCTTTACCTGAATATGTTAAATGAAAAATTTGTGGTTTTATAGTCATTTTTGAAGTTAGGTTTTTTGCTTTACTTACTGTGTGTGGCTGGTATTACATGTGGATTCTGCAGTTTCCTGTAAAATAATACATATATAGGATAACTGACATTGTTTTTAAATTGTTAATAAATTATACAGATCTCACAGAAAATTATGGCTGAAGAAATTTTAGTATAATTGTACTTGCACCAAAATAACATTTTAACTCTATTTTATTTTATTTGCATGTAAATAAGTTTCTTTTTTTCTTCTTTTTGACTTTAAGGCATCAAAACTCTTAATAAATTATTCTTAAAGTGGTTTTTGAACTTTTGATGTATTGACATAGTAATGGGACAATAGTGGGGTAGTTTCCTATTGCTTTTTTAATGGATTTGAATTCAAAATAATCATTTTCTTTTTTTAAAATTTTTTTTTTAAGGAAATTACTATATTAAAAATTTTCAGAACTTTCCAGTAGAACTTTTTCTTAGAGAAAATAACAAACAAGGAAATAAATAAAATTAATTTTTGTGCAGTTGGCATATACAGAAGTTAAATCTCCAGCCATTACCACCAATGTACATCAGTATACTGCAATAAGATGTACAGGTGAATGAATAACATTGGCTTAATCTTTTATATCTAACATGACATTTTATTTAACTCCTGTCAATTACAAGTGTGTGTGTGTGTGTGTGTGTGTGTGTGTGTGTGTGTGTGTGTGCACACACAGCCAAAGAACTATTGTCTGAAATGTAAACCTTACATTCTTGTCTGTAATGTCTGAGAGATTAATTCATCTCTTGGATGGTTGTTTATATATCTATCTCTGTCATGCAGCTCATTCCTTGAATGTTCCATGTAATTCTGCATTTGGCAACTTAGACGTCACGTCATGTCAACCCTGCACCTGAATCCCTTGATGGTCTGATATGATACTGAGGGAAAATTCTATTCTGGCATTACACTACAATACAGTATAGTAATGTATATTAGTGGTAGTTAATTTTAATGAAAAAAGTAAGAAAAAAAATACACAAATTAAGCTAAACTAACTTGATGCAGGTAACTCATATATTCTGTTTGTATAATATTCCTTCATGTTTGGTTTTCTATCATTTGCTTACATATTTGGTCTATATCATTTAAATATTCTAGATTTTGTTGAATAAAATGTTTTTTTAAGAGCATGTTATGATTTTTTTTCTGTAAGAAGTCTGTTGTTTATTTAGACCCGAAACTTCTAGTGACATGGGAGCAACAACACTGACAACACATCTAGATTTGGAATTTAAAGGTGTATTTTAATAACAGGATGAAAATAAAGGAGCTGAAGAATTTCTATTGATTCAGAATGTTACATGTATTGAGAAATGTTCAGCTTTCTGAGGTCCCCTTCTTGGAGGAAGATAAAGATATTTTTTTAATGTGAGAATGTGGAAATGACAGTTAATAAGTTTTGTTGAAGGCAAGAAAGGAAAAAGAATTGAAAAATAAAAAGTTTTGTGTTTTTTTCAATCAGAGGAGTTATGGCAAAGGAGTTTTCACTGTTAGAGTGACAGAATAGTGAAAAGTTTTTTAAAAATCTTTAAAGGAATAAAAAGTTCCAATAATATATTAACTGAGGTCTATGTAATAAACACTTTCTTCATTACTAAATACATTAATAAAATCAATTCAGTTTTTATGGTTAGTATTAAGAGGAATTGTTTTTAACCTCAATACAAAAAAAAAGATTTATTTTCATTATGTTGTGACAGGTGTCATATCAGTGTGCATTAAAACTTTTTCAAAATTTGCATATTGTTGTTTTGTGACTAACACTGAAGATAGAACATAAGCAAAATTATACTTTATTTATTTATCTTTTTTTTTAATCAATTAACCCCAAACAAGGTGATAATGCCGACAAGATGCAAGGGGCTACTTGGAGTGAAAGAGAATGAAAAAGACTTTAGAAGGAACTGGAAACCCAATCCTAAACAGGAAACAAGGGATAAATCTCTACTCCTGTTCAAAAGATCGGGGTGGGGGTGAAGTGGATGAGAGATGAAACTAAAGGTAAAAATGAAACTAAAAAAATTGTTCAGTTTATGGAGATGTTGTTGTGAATGAGTGAAGAAGTCAAAAGTACTTTGTGAGGTTTTATACTAGTAATTTCTTGCTACATTTGAGTAGAACAGCTGAGTTAGAGAGCAAACAAATGAAGAGTTTACTTGAGAATAATGTTTTATGATAGCCAACAGACTCAAAAATATCCAGATCAAGCATTGAAAATCATTTATAATAGTTATGTTAATTGATTTGATATATGGCTGCTATCTGCAATTCTGTAACAAAAACATTCTGTTTTGTAAATTAAATTGTGATGAAAAGTGGATATTTTACAACAATGTAGAAAGCAAGAGATTATGGGGCATAGAAAATGAATCATTAAGAACCATACAAATGATCTGTTTTCATTCAAAAAGGTGGTGCTATGTTTATAATGGAATTAGAAGTCAGTCAGTTATGTGCCATGTGCAATACACGCTTAGGTGATCATGTATCTTTCAATACATGACAGATGAGGCAGATTTTTTTCCCCACAGTAGGTTGCCATTTCTTTTTGTGGTAGACCAGTTGCTATCCAAGGCTATAGAACCCAGTCTGTCCTGCTATTTACCCATAGCTGGTGGGGGAAGAGGAGAATTCATACCTTTCCCAAGGGTATTAGCATGTAAGTGAATGTAATGGATACAACTGAAATTTGAACTCGGCTCTCTGATTCCACAAGAAAGGAGTTTTCTAATATGAGTGTCTTCTGGAGAACTAAGAGATAGATTCAAACAATTATTGCCCCCAATTAGACCAACTGAATACAATAATGATAGATTAAAATAACTTGTAGTTAATTAAGATAAAGGGCCTAATATTCCATCAGGATAATGTTAGACCAGATATCTTTTTTTTGGTGAAAAGTTAAAAATTGTTGCAGTTTAACTTGGAACTTTTCCCTCAGCCATCATATTTAGCAGATATTGCACCATTAGTTTACTATTTATTCCAGTCTTTATATAATTAAGAGATAAATGGAATAGTTTAGTTTACTGGAAAAAATGCAAAAGCACAAAGAACAATCCTTTACTGAGAAAGATAAAGTGTTTTGAGAAGAATGGATAAATTTGCCTGAAATATAGTAGAAATGTAGTCAAACAAAAATGGTAAATATATTTTTCAATGAAGTCAATACCAAAAATCAAATAATATCTTTTAGTTTTACTTAAAGCGAACAAACTTAGTGGGCTGCTCAAAAGATATATGTATATTCAAAGCAGTAAATGTAAAACCTACTGATTTGAATATACATTTTTAATTTTCACTTTTTGAAATATAATTTTAAATAAAAAAATGTAATGATAATTAGAAACATTGATAGTATTAATGTATTAAGTGACATGGGTGTTTTATAAAATGGATCATTTAAATTTCAGATACAAATGTAAGAAAGTAGTAGTAGTTAGTTTTGCCTATCATCCAGTTCACACTCCTCCCAAGCCTTTTGAACAGGAGTAGAAGTTTATCCCTTCTTTCCTGTTTAGGACTGGGTTTCTGGTTTCTTCTAAAGTCTTCTCATTCTCTTTCACTCCCAGTAGCCCCTTGTGTCTTAGTGGTATTATTGCCTTGCTTGGGGTGAATTGATAAAAAAAAAGTCTGTGCATGTGAATAAATGTTAATTTTCTAATTATTATCATTTGAAGCCATTATGTTCTATATAAGGCCAACTTTTATTGATACATATGCATTCTAAGTTGTTAAAATTGGGAATTAGTAACTATGAAAAAAAGAATCTGGTTGTGATTGCTTAAGTAACTTTTGTACTGATGTCTTTTGGAAAGGAATGAGGACAATTCTTCTTGTGCTTTTTCCCCATCACTAGTTTTGTCACTGGCATATGATGATGTCAAAGAGAGAAAAGAGTGAGTAAACAATCATTCTCTGCAAATTAAATACTGTACTCTAAATAGGTGTAAAATTTGATTATTTTAAAACATTAAGAATGAAATTAACTCTATAAAATATACTTCTATTTAATCACTATCTGATTAACAAAAATTGTAGTTGATTATTTTAATATTCTGTTTTTCATATTTTCAGAATTAACCATTATTGACTGTATATGTCTGCAGGAGAAGATGAATTATAAAATGGTTTGTATTTTACTTTTTTCAAAACAACATAAAAATAAGTTACACTATATGATTAGCTGGCTGACCAGAAGAGTAATTATGAAAACATATTAGGTGTGAGTAATAGAGATTTTTTAGTTTTTTTTTTTTTTACTTTTTGCCCCCATTGCCATGGAAGTCTGGTAGAATTTGGGTCATATAATAAAAGCATTCATTAACCAAAAAAAAAAAATGAAGAACTTATATTATTTACTAATTTTCATATGTTCACTATTTTTTCAATGGAACTAATCTGCAACAATGTCCCCATCCCACCCCACTAAAAAATAAGCGAAATAAAATAAACAAGATTTGATATTATTTTTGTAATTATTTTCAGATAATTATAGGCAAAATTAGCCAATGTTGCACTACTGAAAGTATTTTCTGAAATAAGCAGTCGCTTTGCTTTGTAAATTTTGTTTGCATTAAAGAATAAAAAAGGATCATAAGGAAAAAAATGTCAGAATGTCTGTAAACCTAAATTCATATTAAATTATATTATTGATATTAAAGCAACCAGAACATAAAGTACCTGTTAATATTCTGGCATCAGATCCACTGAGGAAACATTTAAAAGTTTTGTAAAGTTCTGACACCTTATTAGGTAGATGGTCATAATGCTTTAGTTTATTTGGTTTATTTGAAGTGTAGAAGATATCTATTAACATTTATTTTAAACTGTCTTAATTAACTTATTTATAGCAAATTCATTTGCAAAAATATAGTATAAAAAGTTGTGTTATATAATAAAATATTTTAGGAGGAAAAATTCTTGTTCTTGGCAATGATATTTATTCACAAAGTATATAACTGAAACTGAAATTTAATCACAAAAGAGAACAAAATAAATAAATAGATGCCAACAATAATACCAAACATTTAATTCTCAAATTAAATAAATGTATTTATTAAACTCAAGCCAATTATTATATAACAATTTTATAATGATAAAATTATATGAACAAAATGCATAAGCAATTGCATACAGAAGAGAAATTTTGTTTTTTTACCTTCATTTGATCTTCTTGGTCAAACAAATTGTTAACAGAACTGAAAAGAAAATATTACCAAATCTTGAAATGAATATAATGATTGTAGTAAATGCTAAAATATTTTTGTAAAGAAGTTTCTTTTAGAAACTGGTTCAAGTTTAAGATTTGTGGAAAATCTTTCAAGTCCTAGATCAACTATGGCTAGTTCATTTTAAAAAATATGTAAATATTTTATTCTGCATTCAGTTCTTTTTATAGCTTTTCTTTCTTTCCAATCACTTAAATGACTTCAAATGGTTTTAGCTGACATGATGCTTGCTATTAGATTTTTGTTTATTTTCAGATGATTTAATAAAATCATAGAAACCTCATATTAGCAGTTAAAATGAGAAAACGGGTAAGATGAGAGTCTGTCCACTCATTGATATCTATTGAGGGAAATGCTATAAATTGAATGTAAGCAGATCTGATATGCAGTAGTTGAAGTGTTGTGTTAAAAAATAATGATAGCCTGAAAATATAAGGAATAATGAAAACACTTGATCTTCAGAAATAATAAAATTTTACAGCATTGGCTCCAAAGGTGGAATTTTGGTTTCTCAGTTTTAGTTCAATTATAACCCAGACTTTGTGTGTACAAAACATTTAAAAAAAAAAAAAAAAAAAATGAATGTAAATTTATTTATTTATTTACCTAAAAATGTACTGGAATTAAATGGAATTTTTATGGATTTATCAACAAATACACAAGGTTAGATTTTATTATGCAAATCATGATTTTCTAAATAAAATTGGTAATAATTGATATTATTAAAATCTTCAGGATATACTTATTATATTTATATAAAAAAACATGTACCAAGTGAATTTCAGCTTATCTGTTTTTATCAGAAATATTTACAATAAATTTTTGCAATTGTAAAATTTTATTATGCAACTAATTGGTTGTTCATTATACTGTAAATAAATTTATATAACAATATCATTATTGATGTTTATTTCTTTAATCTCAGATATATAAAGATTGCAGTGGGCCATAAGGTAGATATAACCTCCAAAGAGAAACAAGATATGTAAAGTTAGTAAGTGATGAGAATATAATGTTGAAAGTTGTGGCAAAATTGAACAGATCAGAGAAAAAACAATGAAAAAAAGAAAGTGAAAATATTGGCAAAATAAAAATGGGGAAAACCTGGCTTTAAGAATGTTACAAAAGATATTTCAGAAAAATTTAAAGGATAATAAACAAGTGGATTGACCAGCAAGAAAGTGTGTGAAGAAACTGGTGTTGCAAATGTAAACAGAAAAAAATGTGCAGAATATGAAAAACATTGAATAAAGACATGAATGTAATCAAATTAACATCTTTAAATAAACATCCCTAAGAGAAACATGTATGTTGGGTGAAGAACAGTAATTTCTAGTGATGTGTGTAGAGCTATGTTAGATGCAGCTATGTCAAGTTTTATGTTCAAAAATTGATCTAGTAGCTCAATTCCACAACGAAATAAATCGCAAGTCCAAACATGAAGATCCAGGACAGAAAGAAATGTTGAAATCACAACTCGCAGGTTCAATGTCAGAAATCTCAATACATGTAAATGGTCAGAAATCCAACGCACAAGCCAACAGTTACATGCAAGCCGATGGATGAATTAGCAAAATAAAAACAACTCTTCTAATTTGAGAATACCAACCATTTTTATTGATGGAACAATTTTTTCATTGGCCAATGGTTGTAGAGGATAAACAATATTAACATGTCCGAGAAACATTCATAGCCACAGTGATGGACTTGCTTCTATTTTGGTTATTTTATCTTTGGCATTTCGTACAGAAAACACGTGCCATTTTTCTCAGTAAGTGACTTTCTCTTTTGCCACATTTTAATATGACATTGTGTAATATAAAATTTACAAATAAAATATTAATTAAAAATGTCATATTCTCAACAACAAAAAAAAAGAAAAAAAAGATAGAAATATTAAGTTTAATTTTTTAGATCTATTATGCATTATTCTAAAAAGAATGCATTACAGAAAAAAAAAAAAAAAAAAAAAAAATCACCCACAGGTTATTTCTCACAATGTCAAAAAAAAAAAAATTTGTAAAAAAACAAAAAAACAATGATAAATACTTTAGACAAGTTTCAATATTGATAACTATTTAATCTTTTTCATCTCAGCATTTATTAGGAGTAGCATCATGAACAAATAAGAAGACAGCATTTAAACTATCATTAAAAGAAACAAAAATGAAAAAAAGGATGAGAGAGATGAAAATACTGAAATAATAATCTTTCAAACTGATTGTCTGAGAAAATAAGTGATTATAAATTGCAATACCTTTTCAGAATAAATGATACAATTTAGCAAGAGTTTTCAGTTACTGATTATAATCAGTATGCTTTGAATATCAAATAAGTTTTCTTTGTTGCAATTTAAACTTTAGTATTTGATATTTATGTCAGAAGTAGTGAACAACATTTTACTCTTGTTTTTAAATACTTCTTCTAAGAGCCAAAACCAATATAACCTGCAATGTTTATGATTCTCTCATATAAGCAGTCTACATATCTCAGCATTCAGTCTCACATATACATTCACTATCTTATATGCCTGATTATCATGCCAACAGCTGTCATGTTTTTATAGTAATCATAGATTTTCCTAAAAGGAGTTATGGTTATAATTATTCATGAATATTATTAAATGCTTATCATCATGCTTTTACAAACGTGACTGTTTCTAGATGTTATCATTCTCTCTCTCTCTCTCTCTAGATATATATATTTATATATATTTTGGAAAGAAAGGAAGAGAATGAGAGAGAGAGAGAGAGAGAAGAGGACATATGTTCAAATATAAACAATGAAATACAAGAGAGTTCTGTAAAGTTCTTGCCCATTGCCCAACCCACTTCTCAAAATCAGTATTTTGATGTTTGGTGTAGCTGTCACACCGAAAAGTACCTGCTGAAATAGGGCAGTCGTCTCTTGGCGTATATTTCTCACGGCAATCACATTTGGTAATGGAAGTATTGAGTGTAGGAAGTGGGTAAGGCTAAGAGCTTTTCACCACCCTTTTATGTTTTACACACACACACACACACATATATATATATATATAACATACATAAGTTGGACAAGAATCTGATCAAATGGTACATCTATAAAATTTTTTACCTCAACATGTTTCTAGTATAATCAGAATTTTATTATACAAGAACAAAATATACAAAATTGAGAATAAACATAGTTAATGTTAAGCACCTGAGTTTTGAAACATTTGATTTTTACTTAAAAAGAAAAAAAATGGTACAGTTATAGTAAAAATTAAATGCTTCACATTTTATCTTGGTAATATAGATTTTGTTCTTGTACAGTAAAGTTCTTTTTTCTGCTAATTTCAGATAAGGATCTTCTGAGAAACATGTTAAGTTAACTATTCTCCTAAAGTGTCTTTACATAAATATAATGAGTTTTATATATATATATATATATATATATATATATATATATATACATACATATAACAATATAATTTTGTATAATTTTATATATCAACAGTATTTAGAAAAATAACATGATAAATTGGGAAAAAGTTTTGTGACGTGTTTCATCTGTTAGGATTTCATCTGACTGGGCCTTGTTGATGTTGCCATGTCTACACATTGTCTCTTGTTTTGTGCGCATGTGCCAATGTGGTAACATCAACAAAGCCCAGTCTGATGAAATCCTAATGGATGAAATGTATCGCAAAAACTTTTTCACAATTTTCATATTTTTCTAAATTATATCTCTTATAACCTCTAGATAAGTAAAGTAACACTCACTTATTGTGCAGAATATTTGTAGTTTGATTAACTGCAGGGTTCTTCTTTTTCTTTGGCTAAAATATAAACAATACTTTGAATAAATAAGTAACTTAGGGCAAGAATATTTTTCTATCTCAACAAATTTAAAAATGTATTGCAAACAGGACTAGCAATTACTTGAATCTTATTTTATTAACACGAAAGCTGTTAAGCTAATTGGCAAGTAGTCTGTTTCTATTAATCAATAGTGAACTTTAATGGGAATATTATTTTTCTTGTAATACCAGTATTTCAAAGGAATCCTAATCAGTAATTTGATGATAATCCACTTTTTTCTTTTAGACTTGGAGAAGTTAAGATTGTAGTGGTCATGGAAGCATCCTCTCATAAGTCTGTTCCACAAAACAGTAGGTCTTGAAAATAAGCTGTCTGAATGAAACTTCCTTCTTAACAATGGAATATATGAAGAGATGGTTCACCTCAGTGTACATGGAATAGCATGTCATAGCTATAAAAGTCTGAATTGGTGGAACTTCAGAACATTCCCATGAAAATAGTAATAGAGTAGCAAGAGGCTTCTGATGTTGCAACTGTGGGTTGTAGGTTAGAAAATAATTCATCACCTACAAGGTTACAACTGCTTTTGAACTCTTATCAAGTGCAGAAAAGGAGGATTAGACAGCTCCAATGCCAGTATAACAGCTTTTGGCTTGATTGATTTTTGTAAAGATAGAGCAAGGTAGGTGGTGTCAGGTACTTTCTAGATTCATATAAAGAGCTGACCATTTTTCTAGCATCTTTAAGCAATGGATTGTATATATGAGTTCCATCTGAGAAATGGAGTGGGTTGGAGTCCTAATATGATGCTCAAAGCAAGGAACCTCTTTGAGAGTACAACCATTCATTCATAACTGGTGAGAAGTCAGTGTCAGCTTGGTAAAGATGAAAAGTTACTAGCTTTGTTTTTGAGGTATTGAAAGTTACAAGCCAGTTTTTACCCCAGGAGGCTCTTAGAGATAGGTTGCTAGATCAGAGGAGTGATCACCTACTGGGCTCTGGTGATCTAAATTGTTGGATAAACTGAATAGATATGTACTAACGACCTGAAATTGTTCTTAGGCAAATCATTATTATAAAGCAGAAAGAAGGTCGGACCAAAAATTAAGCCTAGTGGGACACCTGCATTAATCTCATGAGCTTCAGAAGATTGACCATTAACAGTGACCTTCAAGGACCTACCTGATAGGAAGGACATGATTGTAAAAACTCTTCCAAAGATTCCATAGCTAGAGAGTTTGTGCAACAAATTCCTATATCACATCTTGTCAAGGATCATTGGGATATCTAAAATGATCTCTCTTGTGTTGAATTTATTATCAAGTACCTCACTAATTTTGTTTGAGATGATAGGGCATCAGCACTAGACCTAGAAGAGTGAAATTCATATTACTTGTGTTACAAGGATGCATTTCTATTATAAGGGATTCCACTGAGTTCTACTTGTTATTACAAAAAAGTTTTCATTCATGAAAAAATAGAGAAATTAGAAATAGAATGTTTCGAAGATTCTAGATCATTCTAGTATATTCGAGAAAAATCTAGATGATTCAAGAAACATCTAGAAATATGCAAATTAGGTGTTAGCCCCTATAAAAATGGGATTTTGGAAAAGGGTTGTCAGTTGGTAAAAGGAAATTGTTGCCTGTATCAACTCTGGCTTTTTGATTCAAGGATTATTATATCCAGCCGAAAGAATCTATATGAAAAGTTGCCGACCAACAAAAACCCCAAAAGAGAACCCCTTGGAACAAATCTGATTCTGTATATACAAGCTTTTGTATTTGTTGTCTTAATGGGGAAATTAATGAGAAAAATATTTTTTGGCCAACTACGAGCTGCAGAAATGGAGCATCTCATAGGAAGGTCATGGTATGCTGTGACAGAAACCTATCTAGCATTTACAGTTTTTTGAGATGATTTCAATCCAAGATTTGTTGCTATGTTCACCTTACTTTTGTTTTTGAAATGCTTCCATTGGCTCGCTGAAGACAGAGTGGATTATATGGAGAGAAGTCCAATGATTAGTCTCGAATTTTGTTACGTTTTCATAATTGTAACAAAGAAAAAAAAATGATTTACCACAACACAGAGCTAAATCACAAACAAATATTTAATTTACTAAAACAGAACATAAAATATATACAGGATAAACAATTGTGGCCTACAAAACAGAAAACACAGAGTTACTGGCAAGTGTTACAAGGGAGAAGGAAAGGGAGTCAAATATCTTTATCACTTTAGGGCTAGTGAAGTAATCTAAGTGCTATATTTAGAAATCCACAAAGGTGTGTAAATAAATATTAATTTTTAGTTTGGTCAATGAAAATTAGTCAAAATTCTATTTATCAAATTAGTTCCATGAAATTCTCTTTTGGGTTTTGGTTGGTCGGCAACTTTTTATAGAGATTCTTTCGGCTGGATATAATAGTCCTTGAATCAAAAGCCGGAGTTGATAACAGCAGAAATTCTCATTCACCAACTGACAACCCTTTTCCAAAATCCCATTTGTATAGGGGCTAACACCTAATTTGCATATTTCTAGATGTTTCTCGAATCATCTAGATTTTTCTCGAATATACTAGAATGATCTAGAATCTTCAAAACATTCTATTTCTAATTTCTCTATTTTACAACTACTTCATGAATGAAAACTTTTTTGTAATAACAAGTAGAACTCAGTGGAATCCCTTATTATAGAAATGCATCCTTGTAACACCAAACTAAAAATTAATATTTATTTACACACCTTTGTGGATTTCCAAAAATAGCACTTAGTTTACTTCACTAGCCCTAAAGTGATAAAGATATTTGACTCTCTTTACTTCTCCCTCGTAATACTTGCCAGTAACTCTGTGTTTTCTGTTTTGTAGGCCACAATTGTTTATCCTGTATATATTTTATGTTCTGTTTTAGTAAATTAAATATTTGTTTGTGATTTAGCTCTGTGTTGTGGTAAATCATTTTTTTTTCCTTTGTTACAATTATCAACACGTAACACTTGTCACTCAGGATGTTGTTTCTGTTGTGATGATCAATAACCTTATTGTTGATGATAGATTAAAAGAGTTTGTAGATGACATTAAAGAGGCTAATGAATTGATATTCAGACAGGGATGAGCACTCTCCCACACTCTTGAATACTGAACATCTTTCATAGACTTAGGAAACATTTCTCTTTCAGAAAGTAGTTAAACAACTTTAGCAAGATAGCTCTGAGCTAAGGGTCCTAAGAAAAACCACAAGGATTTTATTCAAACCAGAAGCATTTGTAGAGTCAAGTCTTTTTAACAATTATTTAATCCTCGCCAAGTTTCACTTAATTCATTGCATTTTAATATTTAAATAGTTAAAAAGTTGATTCCACATCTTTTACAAGTTTAAATATAAATCACAAGATCCACTCTGCCAGTAGCAGAGCCTATCTCACATCTGATCCAGTTACATCATCTATATTTCAGTAAGCAACGTTTCTTTTCATGCAGCCTCTTGCCTCTTGGGGAATATTGTTGATTGATTTTTATTTTACGACTTATCAAACATTTGTGCGTTATTTGAGGCTGAAACATATTTAGGATTATAAGAATAACTCTCTTTTTTGTGAGTGATTAGTGCATTAACAGTTGTTTGAGAATAATGATTTTCCCAGATACAAGTCCTACTATTTAACCTATAGCTGGGAAGAGGTGATATATTCATGCCTTTCACAAGGGTATTAGTATGTAAGTAAATGTAATAAAAGGCTATAAAACTTGGATCTCTGATTTCTCATTCCTAGCTAGTAGATTAATGAATACAGCAATGGAACAAACAGATCCTGAAAATGTAACAAGCATGCTTAGTGACTATATATACACATACCTACACAACTGGGTAAAAGACTGTGCCGAACTCAATATGGAAATATATTAAGATTTTTAAAGTTAATGAATGGAACTAAGATTGACAGAGTAGGGAGGGTTCGCCAGCATACCCAAGGAGATATATATGGTGCATCAGTTTTTCAAGATCTGTTTTCTTATTTTTATTATCTTCTTTTTTCAGATAAATAATGTCAGGCATCAAGTTGACTCAGTAAATGAAAAGGCATGCTGTAATTGATGATTTAAAAGCACAACATAGTGATGAAAGTTGCTTGATTTTTCGTTATCAAAGTTCAAAAAGAGCTGGAAGCTGCTGATGGGGGATCCTATAGAGCAGCTAAATGCATAATACATGTTAATGTTAATAATAACATCATAACACTTTGTAAAAAAATGTCTAGAAAATAATTATTAATAAGAGCCTCAGAAAGTCAATCAGAGCCATTGCAAGGTGTCAGACTGCACCATCTGGTACAAGTTGTAGGAGATGCAGAGAGGTTAGTTCAGAAGAGACAAGAGAGAATTGTCTGATTCATGGGAAACACTTGCTAAACAAGTTAAAACACCAAGAGGCTGAAATGCTTTGGCTTTTCTTTGATGAGAAAGTCTTTGATCAGGACCAAAAGGTAAACTGAAGGGTACTTATGCAGAGACTCAATTAAGTTTCCAAGAGTTATGCATACCAAGTTCCTAGCAACTGCGATGTTTTTGGGAGCTGCCAACAATGAGGAAGATGTCATACCACCTCACTTCTTTCCTCAGAGCTTAATAAGTCGATGCTACTATCCTATCAGAAGGAGAGAGTTGTGAAGTCCTGAATGCATAGTGTATGCAACAGAAAACTGTACATCTTCCAACAAGATTCTGCACCATCTCATAAGGCTAAAACAACCCAAACATGGATGCATGACAATCTCTATGATCATATTCTCCCAAATATATGGCCTTAGCAATGTAACACTACATGTAATAGATTTCTATTCCAGTCATTGATTTGGCAACATACTGAACAAGAGACTCCTTTAGCCATGTTTAGAAGCTCATAGTTGGTAAATTGCAAGCCTGAGCCAGTCACATGTCATACTGAATTAAAATTGATGGATTTCTGTCATTGACTGAAGTTTTGGAATAAGCTCGACAGCAATATACAGGGG